CACACACACACACACACACACACACACACACACACACACAACTGCCATGTAATTTCCTGCATATGCCACAACAAGCCTTGAACAAACTCCCGCTCCTACATGTGTTTAAGTGTGTTGTGCCAGCCTATGGTGTAATCATCATAATGTTATAGCTCTTCACTTATAAGAGGCAACACTACCTCCATCCTTGTGAGCACTAGCACATGATCATAGGCTTATTCTCCCTTTGGCACTGCGTGTGTTCAGACATGTTTTTTCCATTGAATGTTTTGTCTCTATAACCAACTACTTTTATATCTAGTACTACATTGCTATGTCCTTGTAGCTCTTTTGTTTCAGTTATCCTTGGGTACCATGCTGAGTTACCCCTCTCCTGTTCCTTGTTCTCTCACTTTCTGTTCACCATTCCCCCTTTAGCACAGCTCTTGGCAGTGACTTTTCTTTGAAATTTACCTTGGGCTCTGGTCTTGTTGGGGCCCTCCCCTTCCCCCTTTACTATCCTGTGTTCTTCTTTCTCTAGTGACCCTGGGGCTTTACAAATTCTTTCTCATCATCCTCTTTCCTATTCTCTTCCCACTAATCTTCTGCATCTTCATGATCTTCAGGTTGTGGTGACCATTTTGTTGGTAGTGGGAACTATAGAACCTGTCTCCCATCCCTGTCTTTCTGTCATTTCTTTGAAGGTGGGGATTTGGCACTTTGTCATCTCTGAATCTCTTTCTTGTTGTCCCTCGATTCCAGATTGACAAGTTTCTCAGTCTAAATTGGGCCATTTCTGTGGGCTGTGTTTAACCAAGGTAATCATCTCACATGCCTTTCTTGACATTCCTGTTTGTCTTGTGTCCTATCATTCCTTTGGTTTGTCCTCAATGACTGTGCCTTTCAGTTCCATGCTCTTCTCTTTGGTCTAACTATGGCACCTTATGTTTTGAGCCAGATCATGCATTCCTTTGCTCAGTGCATGCATCTTTTGGGCCTTTATATTCATTGTGTCAACAGGAATTTTTACCTCCATTCTTCTTTGAGGGGCTTCTTGTCTGGGCTGGCTGGTCTTTCCAAATCTGTTTTGACTCTCACTCAGTTTTCTTGTCTGCCTGGGTGTTCTCTTCAACTTTTGTGAGAGGTGGGCTCAACCCTCTTCCTTGCATGTTCATGTCATGGATATTTTGGTATCCAAGGCACTCATTCTATCATTTGAGGACTTTTGCTTCTCCAGGAACCTCGAATCCTCTTGGTCAGGCTTATATGCATCCCTTTCAATGGGCTTTGGAGGTTCATTGGAACATATTCTGCATTTCCTTATCTACCTTTGTGTCTCTTTTTCTCTACATCCTTCTGTTATGGAGGCTTAATTACTTCAACACATCCCAGGGTACACCACTCTCTTTCCTCAGCCTAACTTGGATCTATCCACCAATGCTTCTCTTTCTGATGGGAGTGATTCTCAACAACACTAATCTCTCTGAACTTCTGGAGATGACTGTGGCTTATTGGGCTTGTCTTCTTTGTTTGTGATTGTTTGATCATTTTGTAATTATCCACTAGGACAACTCTATGATTGTTACTTCAATCAACTGCAAGGGAGGCATCTGTGTTGAAACCTGAAGCTTTCTCAGTTTGGAATTATTTTCCTGGGCCTACAATTATGATATGCACCATATAGCATGTCATGCTTCTGGCGTTTGTATCTGGTAGAGGATTGCTTCTGTCTCCATGTTGGGATCCATCCCATAGTGGTCTTCTGTTTAATTTTTTTCCCATTTTCAGAACCCTGAAGATCAATGTTTTGCGACTTTCACTTTTGAGGTCTCTCTTCAGATAGTCTTGGCCATCCACTTTGCATGACAGGATGTCATGAATGCCTTCATATTCTTGTGGGATTTGCCCAGTCCTTCATGCGGCATATAGGATTTTCCTGGAGATTATCCAGTTTTCTCTTTTGTCTTGTCAGCCATCTACTCTTGCTCTCTATCAACATACATTGGTTGATACTGCTACAGGTACCTCTGCTATTCCTTT